AATCATTCACTCATTCGATCAATCAATCACCTGTAAGATCTGATAGATTCCAAGTTTAATTTCATTGGCTCACAAGAGTGCATGCCTCTACCTTATTTATTATTGCTCATCTATGATATGCCACTTCCCAAGAATAACTACTGTACACTTTTCTAATCGATAAACAATTGGGATCTGACGCATACATCAAGGCATGGACAAGCATAACAAAGGCAGCTCTTTTATAGTTTAAGAACATTTAGAATTTAAAGCTTAGACGGAGTTGTTGAATGTCAGAAACCAAAAGTCTACTTATAAAATATATAATTATTTTGGACATGGATTTATTGGTACCTAATACCTTCATACATTTCTTTCTACCATCTGAATCAAAAATCGTTTCTTGAACCAAAACTATTTTCCAAAATGTTTTATTGTCTTCAGTTTCTGAATGTTGTAATGAGTAGCAGAGATAGCACACAGTACCATATTAAAAAGCTTACACCAATCAAACTTATGGTATGATTTGTGTAACAGATTGTTTATTGAAATGTATACTTATTTCCAAAATTTTAAAATAAAAGGCATTTTGCCAAATCAAACGATAACTGAGTCGAGATAATCAGAGAAAACTACACATGGTACTCATCAATAGTAAATATTGCTGATTCAATTGTTTAAAAATGTTTGATATTATACAATTTGATGAATTTCTGAAACAGATAGAGAGAGAATGATTGAAAAAGACATTGATAATAATAATAATATTCTTGTTTAACCAGAAAGCCTGCTGCACATGCATTTTAAGTAACACAAGAATTCTCACAACAGCCAATTTTGCAATCACCCCTGCCCAATACGGCTACGCATATGTTATCTAGATCGGTCAGCAGACAAGTGGACATCCAAAGAGCACGCACACGAGCAGTGGCCCCCGTTAGGGCACTTTTGAATCAACAAGATCCCTCCAACTAATCCACAACCCACAATCCCCAATCGGCAAGGGCTGCAAGGCGGGCTTCCCCAGCTAGACCTGGCACCCCGAATGGATTACCGAGACACCGTTCCAACCGTCTGGCCTCCAACTGACTTGCGCTGATACAATCGATCGGAGTCCTCATACCCCAGATGAAGCTAAAGATCGAGTTTGTCCCACAAGGTCAGCCGAAATGTACACCCTCCCATGGGGTACCACTCATGGTACTCATCAGTAGTAAATATTACTGATTCAGTTGTTCAAAAATGTTTGATAGTATAAAATTTGATGAATTTCTGAAACAGAAGGAGAGAGAGAATGATTGAAAAAGACAATGATAATAATAATAATATTGGATAGGAACAGAAGTTATGAGTCTAGTTAAATGTGGGGGTAAGAATACGATTTCGTAAAAACTTGAAGAATATCGTACACTCCACACCACTGTGATCTCATTATGCTGAATTTCAACTCCTAATTACACATGCTTTCTACTAATATTTTTATTAACCAATGTCATGAGAAAGCAATAGGTAGGACCTCTCGAAAAGTTGCTGTGCATACAAATCCTTATGAGAGGATTTCAAGAGACAGAAACGACTGTCCACCCTTTCGGTCGTATCAGGCCATTTTAGCGCAAAATAGACAACCACATTAACGGCATCACACTCAATATATATGCATATATATACATGCATAACTTTTCACTAATAAAATCTAACCTGTTTATCAATGAATTCGATCACGAATGCATCTGCTAAGATGGA